CATAGTTTCATTACTATTGAACTGCTGTGCTTTCAGGGTAAAAAATTGTGACAGGTAATTTGCGCTACCCCATTGAAACTAAATCATCAACATCATCATAGAAGTTCTCCAGAGACCGAGATCACTGATAGTCTGGTGGCCAAGATCTGGGCCATACGGCGAATCATTTATAATTTGCCATTAAAGCTTACCGGGTAGCTGAAGATGTATGTGGTCTGGCGTTGTCATGATAGACGACGACGCCTCTTCTGTTCGCTAGTCTCAGTCGATTGTTCCAATGGCTTGCCGTAACCTTGTTAGTTGTTGGCAGCGAAGGTCTGGATCGATCGTTCAACCGGGCGGCGCCAACTCATCATGCACGACTCATGCTAAACGCATAAAACATACAGTATTATTTTCTTTTGGCGTCAGTCTAAATTATAGAGCGCATGTTTTATCCGCCCATCATTGCCGTATGTGATTCACTTCTTATCACCTGTGGTCAGCTGCTTAGCTTCCTTGCGTCTGTGTAGAGTTCCGCAGATAGAAGTACGATCAAGTTAATTCTTCTACGTTAATTCGTGTAGGGTCTAAACGTTGTAACTTAAGATGGTTTCAAACGCTTTTATAGTCGATGTTTGATTTCTTGGCAAAGGCATGGTCACTCACATTTCGATCTTACTCAATGTTCGCGATCAGATCCTTAACTTTTTCTGCAATTGGTCAGGAGTATCTTTCACATCGCACTATGCAGACCAAAAGCAACCAACCGTCTTCGGGTCGTGTTGTTCGATAACGCATCCAATACAGATCCAAATTATCAAAAATTTGTACAGAGATTTCAGTCAGCTTCAAGACGCTCTATCGTAAGTCTAAAAAAAAGGTCTATCAGCAAATCTCAGCTTTCGAAAACTTATCATCCCCTGCCACAACCCCACCACACCGATATCGACCAGACGCGATTTATACTATTTATGGCGACCAGATATGTGACCTCAAAATGATCTAGCTAGAGGCACGCTCAATACGTTTTCGACAATAGAGTGTATTTTAGAAGAGTTCCATTTGGCATAGTTCGTAAGACCGCTGTTGTAGTGCGCTTTTAGACTATAGGTACCTTCAATGATGAAAGTTAAAAAAACCCTTCGGATTGCATCGTAGTAACCCGTTTCGACCCGTTCCGTCAGTGGATTACGTAGATCGATAGTTATGAGTGCGATGATGTTTAGGCATTTTTTCGCGTAGAAGCAGTGATGGAGAAGCTAGTCGATCGAAGCACTGCCTGAACTCGAATTGCCCCGTCGTTTTGCACTTATTGAGATATCAGTATACTTGAAGTAGGAAGATATCAGAAAGATACATTTTTATAAATGAGACTTAAAGTGGTTGCCATTGTGACGTTGAGGGTATTCATCAAACACGAACGGTCATCGAAAAAATCTTGTATCCACGAAAAGAACAAGCGAGACCATAATATATATATATACATACACGATAGCGAAAACAAGTTCATCCAAAGGTATATTTATATTGAGGTCCACGTTTTGCTTAACGTGCTGATTTTCATAGGCTCATCATATCAAGCAGCTACGGGCGGAGTGGGTCTGACAGGTAAAGTTTTGCCACCATATGAATCCTACGTGGATTACAGTAGATGATGGGACTCTCAATTCTCTGACGTGAGATGCGTGCCAATAGAGAAAACCAGGTTTACATCAAGCGTCTAGTTTTGTTATACTAATATACTTTCTCGATCAGCAACCATAGACGAGGTAAGCCATAGCGTTTCTTAATTTATAATCATCTACTATAGTCATAGGAGAAGGATGGAGCGTAGATGTCGCTTGAATATTGATAGTATCACTTGTAGAATATGCCAAACCTGTCAAATGTTGTATGATATCTTCCGAAATCTCCCTATTTACTACAAGCCAACATACAGCTGCTTGTTGACCATTAACTATTTTCTTGCAAAAAAACAAAAAAGAAAAAACCTCTAGAGTGTATTGTAGACGAACATTTTAATGGAACTATATAGTTTTAGGAGTATGGCATACGGAAGCTTGCTTATCGACTCCTTCACGTACCGAGTTATCAAAATCAAGAGGTTTCAAAATGAAATTCACTCAGTCGTTCCTAATTGTAGACATTTAGTCGCGCCAGCCGTTGTGCTAGCGGCACGAAATTTATTTTTTCTATTTCAGAAATATTACATATTTCAGATAAGATATAGTTTCATTGTACAGTCTATATGAGTGCATCTGTATACGTTAAAAATGATTATACCCTGAATTTTTCCACCTGATCGTTCATTGGCCGCCTCTGTCTTTTGACACCCGATGCCATTGATCCGCCAGTATCATTATACAACACCCTATATTTGACCACTGCAGAAACGTATAGAGGACCAATGAAGTGATAGTTCTACTAACATCGAGCTATCATCTGGTTACCCACTTCATCAATGCGAGAAACGCTATTTGCTTGTCTGGATAGACTGATTTGTACCGTAACAATCGGGACTGGTCATGTGACTCGGGTAATTACCCTTGAACTTTTTCGGCACACGACGCTTTTTTCTCTCGGTAGTCAAAAGGACATAATAATAATAATAATAATAAGGGGTGCTCCTTAATATTTTATTGATTGTATTCCATCCTAGCTCTGCTAAGCCTAGCGATAGACTGTTCATGTCTGTAAAGCAACTACGTGAACTTTATAGTGACAGTAAAATGCTTAAATATAAAATCGTCTTTATTCAAAAGCACTACAGCATGATTATAGTACGGTCACATAGAACGCTCTTTGTGTTCACGTAGAATTAATTAATTAAGTTACTTCATTAGGGACCTGCCTTTCTCAATTTCGTTGACAAAATCGTAAATCTGCCCAAAAATAATAAAACGTCGCCTATCTACGTACGCCGTTCTGACGCCATTTTTAAAGCTATTTACCGACTGAACGCTAAGGCAAATTTCACGGTGTTTCGTCGCCGTATCGACAGCATGTCGTTACAGCTATACAATTTCAGCTATTGCTTTCAGTTAGCACGATAGAAAAAGGAAAATCTAATCAAAGGCATGCTGTTTTGTGATCGACAAGAAGACTTACATTTGGAATTCTCCGGTTCTCCATACCGGATTCTCCGGACTGCATAGAAAATGTCCGATTGTTTGTTTGTTTGTTGCCATGTCAATAGTGGTAGTTCCTATTTATACGATTGCACGATGCTGTGAATAAACTGAACATTTTACACAAGTAGTGAGTATAACGGGCCACGATAAAGTCTGTGAATGCCTCATTTTTATAACCTGAACGGGGCGACGTCATGACCATCGTCCCTTTAATGTACCTCTGGTTTTGGGCGCCAGCCAGCTACTATGCATCGGCCGGGGTCGCCGGTCCGAGCGTTTGCGGTAACGCGATGCCCCTAGAACCCCATCCATAATTTATAACGATACCGGCCTCTCACACGCGTGCTGGCCTAACAGGCTCATGCAAGTAAGAGCCTTATCTGCTAATATTTAACTACAATTGGTTTACATTACATATGCAAATTCACTGGAATATGCAGGTATCGGTGCTGTGAGCGAGGGACGAACCTTGTCTGGCCCCATGATGAATTGTCGGCAGCGATGGAGCTTCTTTTGCCATCGCAGGGTTTTGAAATACACTCTATTCACAACACTCTAACAATTGCGGTCAAATGGACAGTCAGGAAAGTCGTAAATCCCGCGCGTCTCGTTTACTTTCAAATTTTGACCCGACCTAGATTATCAAGAATTTCAATCATATTGTTGTATCCATTAGCTATTTATCTTATTTATTCTATACCTATTTTTAAATTGCATTTTAACATACACCCATATAAAAAGAATGCAATTTATTTACCTAGGTTTAAGATGTATACTAACAAGAAGGCAAGCTGCCTGTATAGGCTCTCGTATCTTGTCGCATGCGTCATCTTTGATGTTCGTTCTTTGCTGGCCAATGCTTGTGACAACACTGAACCTAGTAACAACCTTGTATATTTCATGAAAGCTGACCCTTATGTACACGTTGCGTTGGAAGCTGTGCTCGGACCGCTGTAATCGATACTGCGGAAAATGGCTGCCGGAACTAAAGTAAAAACAAAAATCTATTCTTGTGCACCTGTTTTCAGTTCGGTAGACATTTCTAGCAGCATGAATAAAGCAGATAATGAGTATTCAGAAGCAAACAGGCTACCTGGACTATCGCTCTCGATGGGTTGAACGCGATAATGTCTGGAAAATTAAGAAGATTGGGCTCCTCGCAAGCTGGACCAGGTTAACATCGTCGCAAGAGTTCTTCCAATGTTCTACTTGTTATAAAGTAGCAGGATATGATTCTAGTAATAATGTCTATGTGTGATAGCCTCACCGTCTGTTGGCAGATTTCGTTGACACTTTTCGAGAGAAAGAAAGGACACGAAAGATTCATTGGTAATAGCTATCGACTCCAAAATATGACTCGTGATGTTGACATCGTCAGAATTGTGAAATGAATGTAAGCCGACAATATTGTGTAACGCGTATTTTACCCTAGTATACATCATTTTCACAGTAAAAATTCGTTTGTTGAATGATGAGTTGAACCTGGCATCTTCAGGTCATCAATGAAACCGCCACACAGTCCTTCTATGAACGGTACAGTAGAGACTGATTTCGTACAGGGATAGAAAGATAAACAAATAGTGGCTTGTTGGTGTAGTGAGTGCAAGTGAGAACATCTTCTAACGACTAAACGTTGGGTCAGCGTCTGCTATCTAGCGACATTATTTCGTAACCAGCCATTGCACTGGTTGAAACGGCCATAGATGTTGTTCTATGCGTTACGACAATTTTCCTTTTGTATAAAATACGACGACATACTGTTTCAATGTCATAGTCAACAACATTAATATCGACGCGTCAGGGGTGCTTCCGAAGGGAAATCCCCAAAATCTAGCTTCAGTCCCAGCTAACTATAGAGGTCTCCTGTTTTCCTTCTCATTGTTTTAGTATGTCCGTCAGGAACGATACGAAGCTCGACTGTACCACATCTACGACGAGTTCGTTCGCAGGGATCGTTTTCTACGTCTCAGCAAGAGACACTCCTCGGCCGGACATTCAGGTAAGGACGGTGGGGGGCAAGGGGTAACGGTAGCAGAAGCAATACGGAAATACCAACGACAGAAACAACACGAGCAGACAACCTAGAATGCGCATAGTAGATACGCTTACACTATTTGTTCCTGCTCTATTCTTCGCAGTTGTGAATCGTTGTCCTTTTTGCGTTCTAGTGTCTTGCTTGTCCCAAAGGCCAAAGACGACGCATATCGTATAGTGTAAACGAGACAGGACACGGAGTTATCTACTGTGTTTGATATGCATTCCGTACTACGCGAAAAACTACGACTTAGTAAAAGATAACTAAACATGCGACTAGTATAAGCATAGCTGCGAGCGCCCGGTGTCCTTGCTGCTAACGTTAAATGAATTGCCTGTTGCAAATTAATGATCTCTAGCTAGTGGCAGTAACTGCCTTACCTCTGTGTATTCAATTCGATACTGGCCAAAGCAGATTAAAATAAATAAAATAAAAAGATTCATATTACACTGTAGGCGATCTTTTCCTTTGCTAAGACTAGTACTTCGGCTACTTGTGCTAATTAGATAGCAATATCATTACTTAAGTGATAATATTGGTTAAGACCCTTATATATATATATATATATATATATATATATATATATATATAGTTCGGGTGTTTTCTATAATTTGCGTTTACATATTGACAAATGAAATCCAATTGGCTTTTTCGCATGGACCTTGTATTTTTTTTTACATTGATATTGACGCATCTGTACTGATTATAGTAAATACAAAATAAGCCTACTACACACAAACGTCTATTACATTTCAAATGAAATTTTGTTTGCCTTTTCTGGAACGTTCTATCATTTCTTTGACTCAGCAACGTAAGGCCTCTTACCAGAAGGCCACCCTCCTAAAAGTATTACCCTCTGCATAATAAAATATCCCTTATTTTCAACTAGAAAGGCGCATGCCTGAAATAATATACCATACTGTCTGAAATACGGTTGGGCTTGCATGAATGGTAGTGTAAATACGCAAACAGGGCACGTTTTTGAAGTCCGTTACAAGATCGTGCATCCCTGCGCCGCATTATGCACATGAGACTTACGACGATGTACGACTTGCGACAGCTATGTTCGCAGGTGTGACGAGCACAACGAACTGCGAAGAAATGCCGCCACTGCAGTTCCCGCATCCTGGAACTTTGACCAGCGGCAGTGCACTCAGTCCTGGGGCATCGGGAGGGGTGCCGTATTGTGGACCAAGCGGGGCCAAAACTCCGCCAGGACCCGCCGGCACAACTGGGCCCCTACGCATACCGCATATACATCTACCTGCCTCGAAAATACGAAATCCCCATCCGCTCTCAGACGAGGAAGGCGATGATGACGGACCTATTCAAGTGAGTACTATTTATGACTAAGAAATGTAGCGCGAAACGATTCAAAGTTATATTAGGAATATAAGCAAAAAGCTTAACGCATGTTTATATTTCATGTAAATTTTTCACATTCTACCTAAAGTTAGAATAATTGAAACTTCAAATCTAAAAGGTTCACTAGATACAGTCTAATAACTTACCCCGTTTGGCTACATTTGATATGCAAGTGTACAGCATCGAATGAGCCCTATTTGTCTATCAAAGATGCTACATAACAAAATAGCAATTAACACTAGGTACTACTTTTCTGTAACACGTACCTGATGCTTTATTTATCCGCAATTCGAGCGATTATTTCAACTAGGTCATAATAAATTCATTCAAGTTACGCAGGCTGAACATTGTCTTAATACTAAACCGGTATAATATAATCCGGTTTTCATTACGCGAGATTTATTCCCCTTCTCGTGTATACTTTTATCATACATTTGAGGAGGCGAACATTTTTCTCCGTGGAAAAGGCTTAGAAAGAATTTGGGAAAGCTTTAGGCGGAAAGATCTGCTTAAACGGGATCCGGCGCTTGTCAATCTGTTAATCTATTAAGCAATACAAAAGGGACCGTGGAAATAGAAAAAAAAGAAAATGATTTATACACCGGTTTTATCTAATCTGCTCCAGTTTCTCCGGTAGTTTATCATCGGAGTTAATCTTACACAAACATCCATCAGTGGTTCTCCGGTGTGTTTATATACGGTATAAGGGTTCGTCTGAACGAAACCAGACCTTGGCTATTATTTACTTTCAGCAGTTTCTCAAATATTTCGTGTATTAAAGAAATAACTATTTACTTTTACGAGGCTAAAGAGAAAAACAAAAAAGCATCGTTGAACAATTATTTAAAGATATACCATTTGCCTGACTTTGCCGGCCACTCGCTAACTTAGCCCTGATAGGGTGGACGACGCAAGCCGGTTGACGTGTGAGCCAACCTTCTCACTGTAACAATAACTCCTATTCGTTTATATGATGACGGGAATACAATGAATGCAGCTTTAGGCGCTGTGCTAAAGTTTTAACCCACTCAATGACTATCTGCCGCGCATGGAACGGTTTGGTAAGGTGCTCTCTTTTCTAACCGTTGAAAGAGGTGTTCCAATAGCGACAACAATATATCATACATAACACAAATGCACTGTTTTACAGTTAAGACTAACTAGCGCTGCTGGGTTTGGGAACTATCGTGGGCTCACAAATTTTCCCGAAGCCCATAGCCAGGTCTTTGTATTAGGTAAGTTGAATATACAACTACGAGTTTATTAAATGGACTCGACTTTCTTTGGCTCTATAAATACACGAATACAAAACTCAACAATGAGCTTCTTACACTGAACAAAGTTTCCAGATTTTCTTTATCGCAGAAACGATCTTCGGTTGGGTAGGAATTTTTCTCTACATCGTACGCTACTTATCCTAATTAACTGGCACACTTGTACTTTGCCCTCTCGCGAAGATTAATAGTCATAATACATACATACTTGTGGCAAACAATTGAACAAAGCATTATCTTTGACGAAAAAGACAAACTGGTAAAAGTGGCAATTTTCAATGCGTGCTTATTCGGTGCAGTTCTAAGCTTCGTGAGTAAAAGCCTAGTTCGTCAGGGAGCTTTTGCGCTAAGAGGAAGAAAAGCATCGAATCCTGGGTATGCTTGAACGGTTCGCCCACCTTAAGTTACTTCAACTGAATTGTTCAACCAAATTGATACACTTACCGTTTACTTAATTTGTTTATACCTAGGCGAGGAGCTCTAATTCGTCGACAAGTTCCCAGGTTTGCTTTGTCCACCAAATGCTAAACCATTCATATTGAACCCCCGAAAAAATCCATCGTAAAATTTCTTCGACCACTGTCAACGTACGACGTTTGTACGCAAACTCTGCTGACGTGAATAATCAGAGAGCTTCATGGATGACCATAGAATTATTGAGTGGAACTTTATTTGTGAACGTGATTGTGGCATTTTAGTTTCAGGTATATCAGTGTCTTCTTCTTCTTCTTCTTCTTCTTGTTCTTCTGTGATCACCTGACCATTCGATCAACACCTAGCAAATGATTTTTAGATACAATAGCCCAGAAGGCAATTTACAATGGTCAACGATAATATTAGATAGATCGTGATGGCTTCTGTCGCGAGTCGGTTACGAAGCCCAACGGAGAATAGCAATTCATGGTGACCGTCTAGTGTGGCACGCTGACAATCTCTGACGCTGATATGCTGGCAGCTGATTCAGGAAGGAAGACGACCTGATTCAAAATAACAAGTTGCTTCTTTGGCGATATTGCAAAAGCGGCGGACTCAGTGAAGTACCATTGAGCTGTAAATACCAATGGTAGTCGGTCATATCGGCAGTCGCGCAAATCTGAAAGGATGAACGAAACAAACATTGGACGATCTGCGTATGGGTTGGTCAGTTCTTTGAAACAGATACACTTACTAGTATAATCGTTTTGCTTAACGACAGACGGTACGAAGATTGTCGACATCGATAGCGTCGTTGCTTATACAGCTCTCGTACGAAGTAGTGCTTGTATTGACTGCGGAACTTAGCAGGGAGGAACTGTTTTAAGTAGAATTTCTACAATCCATATGCTTTTTTACTCATCTAGTTTCGAAATGCGCTTGAAGAGCTACTGCACAATCGTATTGGGAACATTGGTAATCGAACAGGCATAGCCAAAGACCGTTATAAGCTCGTCTAGCGTTTTATAATAACACTCCTTCGACGCGTACTAAATGCATGTATATATATCCATGGCTGGAATATAATATTCGCAGGATAAATCGATAGGTTTCAGCCATTTTAAATTTTTTAAATGGCGTCTCGGTTCTCGAAACGGACATGTGAGCAAAGGTGTATACCGCGTAGCTTACGTACGACTTTTTTTTTTTTTTTTTTTTTTTGTTATATAACCCTATTTCATACGCGGAGTAAGACACTATTCCTACATCGAGAGCTATTCTCTGAAAGCTTTTTAGATCACTGTACGACATCGAAGCGGGTTACCTCTGTTTAGGTCAAGCCAGTGGGTCCTACGTACGTTTTCGGTCGTCTTTCTTACCAACAGGTTCATTATTACAACCTTTTCGTCGACAAGTATGTAGTTTAGATTTGATGTGCTCATATATATATATCCATAAGTAGATCAGAAGCTCATATATGTATATTCCTAAGTAGATCAGAAGCGGCGGCCATATAAAGCGTCCAAGAAACAATATTATCGTCGTCCATATTGAGCACAAGCTATGTGATCATTCTACGAGGAATTATAAACAAATCATCTATCGTAGGAAATAGAAGCAATTGCTTATCAGGACCCTGTAGTGAAGTTCAGTACATAAACTTCACTATCTTGGTGTACACATTGCCACATAAAGCATAGGGATTAGGTAGGATAGCTCAGTGACGTAAAAAAAGCATAATTGGCTATTATACTAATCGAAGATGGCGTCGAACTCGTTCTATAAACGCTGTAAAATGCACGAACAGAAATATCTTTGACATTTTTTTTTTCTGCATGATACTAACGGGTCCGTAAAAGTTGCAGTAATCCGAGTAAAGAGGTCGAGCCAGTTGGACGTCGATGTCCATCGATAGATTTTCTGAACTAGAAAATGAATTATAGTTTTAATTTTTCATAGAAAAAAAAAAAGTCGATTGTCTCGGCCTAAGCTCAGGTAGATCTACATATTTTCCACTGAGCCTTATATGTAACCATGTATTATCTATCAAAACATTTATTCTCGCTGGTTCTCTAGCTAGCATGCAGACGGAACTTTTCGTGTTGCAGTGTTATAAATTTTCTTTTTTCTTCTTTCTCAATTAATGGCCAAGTTGTTTCAGGAGGAACTTTTAGGAGTGCGTGCTTCAATCCCTGTTCGTGTCGAAGACTCACAACGGCAACTTGATTCGACCGTGTAGAAGGCAGAAAGTTGAATACAAGGGAAAGGATAGCGTTACATGCCAGCTTAGACAGTGTATCATATCTGCCTAATTCTTACCACCTACCCATATGTTTAGTGCTATGGCTATCTGTATTATTGTTATAGTCATTATGATTGTGAAGATACGAGTCTCTCCGCTTCCCTGCTCCATTTCGGTGTGCCAAATCGGATGGCCTGCGCGTATTCACGATGAAATATACTGTGTATTATTGCTATAACAATGTATGTATCACTTTTACACTGGTACTTTTTAATGGTGACGACAATAGATGTCGTTGCCGTCAGTATATATAATAAAGAGATGGACGTCTTGGGTGTAACAACAGTAATTACAACGGTGGCACATCGCTTACTATTCTATATTATTCATAGCGATGTATATATACTGTACGTTCTTCATTGTACAATAACCATAAATTATATATATTAGTGACAAGACAAATTGGGCAAACGACATACACTATGATAATACGTGTTTCTTCCAAAACAATTCAGCAAAATAACAACGACGAGAAAATTTTTATTGATATCGTAAATACACGCGCGCACACGCACACACACACACACACACACACACACACAAAATCCAAGGAATCCACAGGTCCAAATTGAGACAAATAACTGTATATAGATATACGCCACTTTAGATCGAATAATGTACGCAAGTTCTTTGACAGTTACAGCTTTTATTCCAGGATTCTGCTAGCAGATAAGGTCAACATCCCCTCTGCGCTAGACAAACCCGTAACCTGCTTCGAACTAGTCCGTTCCTTGTATTTACGAGACCCGAATATAAAAGAGATAAAATATAATATACTATTGGGAGATTCTATGAAATAAGTGAAACGCGACGTGGCATAATAATTAAGAGAGTTGACGGAGAGATAAGAAGGGTATTTAAATAAACGATCGCAACTTTACTAGCACTGTATACGGCTTTTCTGCTTTTTGGTACTAACGGGGTAGCGCTTATGTAGTGATATGAATTGGGAAGGCCAACCATCATCGGGATTATATATTGCGTATGAGAATACTAAAAGCATAACTTTACTAAGACAAACCTTTTTCAATCAGAATATAATATGAAGTACCGAAGTACATTTACTGCCAACAGAGAGAGAGAGAGAGAGAGAGAGAGAGAGAGAACTTCAGTTCAAACTTTAACGACTTAATTCACAGGCGACGCATACTGCCCATAGTACTGTAGTACCAAAATTAATTTTGTACCTATACAGTTAATGAGATATGTACTTTCCGTGTTATGTAGATTTCAGTCAAATTTTGGTCTTCTTCCAATTTTCCGAAAACGGTGGATCCTATTGGAATACGTTTTATATCTAGATTGTGTATATACGAGTGCCCTATCTATTGGTGCCCAACTCTCTCCCCAAAGAATATACATTTTTGCTCTTATTTCTTATATCTGTTCCTGCACGCTGATATAGTGATCGTAGTGTTTTTTTTTTATGTAGAATTCTATTTTTGGTAATCAAAACACCTCTTGCAATCATTTGCACTTTCTTTTTTTACTTGCTGATAAAACGAACCTGCCTACAGGTGGCGACCCAAATCATAAACACTGATCATGAGGCATTGTGTAGGCCTGTAGCAGGCGTCTTACGAGCCGCTTTTGGGTGGGGTGGGGGTGGAGAGCGGCTGCTGGATCTTCTAGTTGAGAAAAGGTTTTCGGGCGTTAGACGCTACGTTGGTATGTCTTTACATAGTGTTAACATGCATGCATGCATGCAAATTTCGTATCAAGAACTGAAGTTATTTAGCAAACGCGTATATTGATTTCGCATATATCGATATAAGCTGCACGATTTTCCATATTTTTTCCTGGTTTCAGTAAATTGCAGAAAAGCAAAAAAGTTGGGCAGAGTGTCAATAAGTATCTCAATCACTATGCTTTCTCGAAAACCTATGCTATCAAGATAGCGAAATTAAATTTTGCACCAGCTTGGCATTTTTCGAAAATTCAAAAATCCATAAAAACAGTGAAATTTGTAAATAAATAAAACTTTTTTTTTACACAGATTCATAAACTCAGTCTAATTGACTGAAGGGGAACATGTGATTATTCATTAACCTATGAAATATTCGCAGTACCATCACTATTCCCATTGGTAGTGCTATCTTTAGCATCGTTTGGCTTTCGTTGGAAGTATTATGACTGCTACTAATTGAAGCAATATGTATGTATATTATCGACCGTTGCGATAATCGTGTCAATATCCTTGCAGACGTTGGCCGGATCTGACAGTTGTGTGATCATGTAGATATCGATTTCGGATACGTTTCGCCGCATTGAGCAGCTGCCGCAAGGCATGCCAATGCACAGTGACATACAATGGGCGTCATGCCGAGACGGAACAAGATAAAATGGGAGTTTCCATTTGACGATCGGTCTCATTCTAAGAACTTTCCTCTCCTGTATCTCTTAAATCCACTTTACTCCGTGCCAGAGCCCTGCTAGTTGACCTGACGAGCTACTGTATATTGGTAGCGTGGACCTTTTACAGAGTCTTGTCGGCTTTCGTTGCTCCATCCTTATTGAATATCAGAGGCAAAGGAGAAATCAACTTTGTGACGTATCGGAAAACTCCAGGTTGGGGTGCCCAACAAAGCCGCCAGTATATAACCGATCGGTCTAGGCGCTTTATTAATGAGCAGAATACTTCTTGAAATAAGCTCAAGATCCGGGACAACACCGTTAAATATGCATTGTTAGTCGTGTAGAAATAGAATATTGTTTTGGATCTACGCTTTACATTGCGTTCACCTAGTAACTAGTAGTTCTAGTAACACCTCTTACCCCCCAGCTGAATGTGTCCTAAATAAATAGAGCAGATTAGATACCGTAGTTGGCTTAGCAAGGCAATTTTACAGCGAACTATACGGTGGGTGTCTTCTGCTGCACGTATTTATCGGAAACAAACGACTATTTCGTGGTAATGTAACGTCATTACATCGGTTCATGCATCGATGTATACATGTAGGTATGTTTTTCCTGCCAGGGTACTCACGTTCACAACAGGACCGTAATGATATACATTGCTGTCAGTTTGAGCGAAAATAATGCGTTTTCGTTGCATTGGGAACTTCAGAATAGAACAAAGCAGAACAGTGAATGTTTACGAAGTTAATGATAGATCTTGTATCAATAACGTATGCTAAGTCACTTAGGATCATTTTCTAAATTTTCCAAAAAGTTGTGAATTGTTGGTGATGGGGAAAAGCGCATTATTCTTAATGCTGCATTTCCCAGTTGGATAATAAAATCAGTCGATGACCTTTCACGGGTACGACCGGTATCATTTCTGTAGCCCAGAAGAGATGTTTTCTTGCCGTATCGAGGTAGGTAGGACAAGGCAAGATATTCACACAGTTGAATCGTCATCATAAATATCCCATCTACACAATTAAGGACAGGCATTCCTCACTCGTATGAGCTAATAAAGCCAGAATAGCGCTCTGTTAACTAGAAGCCCCTCTTAGTAGAAATGCGGAAGGAGGCTACCGTAGGATGGGGAGGGGGTAGAGGTCTTCCGTTGGTTGCTGTCGTTTAAGCGTCGCAAAGCCTTTTCGGTATACTTTTCATGACTTCGACACAACAAAGCAATTCTGTCCTTTGCTTTGACAGTCGCACACACGAATGCTAGCTGACCAGTGTAATAGGCACTATATCGTTACTTAATTCTTTTTTCATGTGTATCCAGGCTAGCAATGCCCTTAATTAACCAAACTGGACCGAATATGCGCCGCAAACGGACGATCTCATCCAACTAACCTTCTACTTGGGCTCACTAACGGCTCTCAGTCGCATCGCTCAGTGTCTGTGTCTGCCAAGCTGATGAGCCTGAGTGGGTTTAAGCAAAAGGACACTCCAAAAATAACCAGTGAGTACAACAACTTGTTCATTTCTATTATTGAGACTTGAAAGCTCTCTGATCAATGAAGGTGGCCGATTCGCGACTACGATCATCACGACAACTTAAGACGAAGAACAGCCACGAGTCAGCCTTGGATGGAACTAACCACACGCCGGAGTCGTCTCTCAATTCCCCATTGACGGTTACTGCCAATCTATATAGCTTACCTCGCGCTACAGGCCAGTGGCAAAAATACTGTGGCATCGAGTAGCTCGCAGATTGACTTCTTCCTATGCTGCCGGGAAATAAAACGGACCACCGTAGTACAGCAAGTAGATGACAACATTAAAAAAAACATGCTTCCGCTTGAAAAATGTTCATACTCTTAGTGATGGGGGATAAGAGGTCAAATCTCACTATGCAGGAGTGTGATGGTTGACAATGTCTATAGAGACACAGCGCTGGTTCGCGGTTTATTACCCTAAGGGCGTCGGATATGGCGTCAACACAGAACGGATACAATCGAGAGAAATGTTGCCCAATTTCAGTAACTAGCAAAAGAAGCTGCTTCTGCAAATGCACAGTTAGAAACAACCAGGTTAGGCATAACGAGGGTTATGTATAAAGGCGCTAAAAGAAGTCAGAGGTTTTTCTCTCCACGAGCCCTTCACTGGCATTATGCCCCATGTATTATAATAATAACTTCGCACAGTATTATCTGTTTGCGGTAGGATAGGTTAGGATAGGTAGAGGAACTTTGAATTGTTCTCTATGTATTATTCCAGAAGGCGTAACCAAGGGTAGGCCTAAATAGTACGCAGAAACTATCTTTACTTGATTTCAACTCAGATGGAGTTAATAGTTTTGTGTGTAATAACTTCGAGATAGCCAACATTTTACAAACCTGTACATAGATAGGCTCACCACGAGTTCGAACCAACGACTAGGCCTCAACTCGGCGCAAAGATCCCTGCACAAATATCTGAGCCTGCTCTGCTCCTGCACTTGTGTGCTATTACGTTGTCAGAGGATCTGCCGACTGGAAAAAGAAGACTTTTATTATAACAGGTTGGCAGTGAAACGTATTAGCCCTGCGACGTTTGCGTCTTTTTCAAGCAGTCGGAAATTGTATGAGATGATCTATTGCGACTGCCATCTCGGTTGCTGCTATTTCCTAACAAAATTTGTAACGTTATATTGGGATTTGTTTTGTAGCCAATTGTCGAAACAAGCGTCTATCGGGAGCAACGGCTTGCTGACCAAATGTGTTTTTTTTTTGCTGCACCCTTCTTGCTGATGTAAACCCATCGTTTCTAGCCAAAGGGGGTAGTAAATAGTAAACGGATAGTAATAGTTGTGCTCCTTTTTTCTGGACATTCTAGTTATTTCGAAGCGATGAGTCTTTGCTGATCAGACGTTGCCTCGGTGCTCTAGTTGCTGCACTCCGGCGAACGAAGGACAGGTGGTTCCAATTGGCTAAGTATCCAAAGTGTATCGGTGGTTCATAAGGTAACATACATAAAGTCCGGATAAAAACGATCGTTGGCTACCTATAAGCGTACGGAGTGAGTCGTTTGTAACCCAAACGGTAGAAACGATTCTACGAATACACAAAAACGCTCCAGCGAACAGAGATGTGACGCTAAGGTATAGGGGGGA